GCTTCAAGATTGGAGCCTGTGTCAATACTGGACCCCCTTAAAGTGGTTTCTTGGCACTTCTAACTATGGACACCTGAATATGAACATTTTACAGAGTAGGATGTTCACTTCCCTGGGCCAGCACATAGTTGTCCTGCACTGCAAAACAAATGACCCTTGCACTTCGTTAAATTTTGTCTGAATTTAGATTAAAATGACCTCAAATCCTGAGTCTGCCACTCCAAGATGTTCATCCAAATGTGGGTTGGCTTCCTTGTCCTTTCACATCACAAAGATGCTAAACCAAGGACTTCCTTATGACTGAAATGCTGAACTGCTTTTTATACTGTTTACAGGGAATACAGAAAGGATAAGCAATGCTTGTAACAATGGACATTGTTCAAAAATGGAGGGCTTCTTTTGAAAAGATCTCATTTATTTTTCATCACTTAGGTGGTTTGATTAACTTTGGTGAATTTTACTGCATTTGGCTAATGATGGCAGGCTGGTTTTATGGCCCTTGAGCAATTGCTTTCACTTTCTGGTTCTCAGGCACAATTCTCCCTGGGCTCACAAAGCCCTTTTACAACAACAATAAAACCTGAATTAAAACATAAAGAATATTTTATTTTTTCACCACTTTTTAAAATACATTTTGAAATTTGGACCTAACACAATCTGACAGTTCGGATAGGTGGATTAATACTGAAAATGCCCATCAGCCATACTCTTTATAGACCTATATAGATATTTTAGATATAAAGCTGTCTGAAGTGCTCACTGTTGAAATGAATGTGGCAGCATGTGAGAAACCTCAAAGAAGAAGAGAAGAAAGGGCTTTTTTTGTTGGGTGGTGGCATGATTTTTTTTCCCTGATTGGAAAGAAATCTTGGGGGAAAAAAAAAAATTCATGTTACTATAATTTCAGTGTTATAGTCTTTGAATTTTATAGCTACTTGTGTAACTGTCAAATGCTTAGATCCCTTCTATTCTGCTTGCACACTCAGTTTGTATTTGTTAGGGATCATGGGATTAGTCAGTTTAAGCATTTGTCCTGAACTTTCACAGAACCACTACAGTAAAAATGGAATGCCCCCATTAAGGAAAACCTGTCCTGAAAGCAACAGATAGGTACATTAATTTGTTAATCTGTTGAGAATATAGCTATATAGGGTAGGCAATAATTAAAGGTAACTAAAATGCTGATGCTTGGACCTACAAGGGCAGCTTCTATGCTCCATTTAGGAATTGTACTTGAGCACAACATGCCACAAACGGAAAATACAGCTTGACATTTGTAAAATGAATTGATTTTCATGTAAAAGGAGGAGTAATTTTACCCCATCTTTAACTGCAGAGTCAGTATTCCAAGATTTTGCAACCGTGCCATCTTACGTCTCCCAGACTACCTTCTGCCATGCAGAGTTACAGTGAGGGTTGCTTATTGTTTCCTTTCTGTAATTCTTTCTTTTGTAAATGTAACAATTTTATGGCTAGGCAAGGGAAAAAAGTCAACAGCCCTCCACAAGTGACAGGACTCTATGGAGCATATTTCTGACCCACCAGAATGCCCACTCTAAATGACCATAACTGCCTGACATTGAGGGGCTTTTGTACTTTTGCACATCATTTGCCATTGGAAGAACCCCAGAAATGTTTAAGGCCCCACTGCTACAATGAATTCCCTGTGGGTGGACCTCTGTGTGCACGCACAGCCCCACTGAAGTTGGTGGGAGTCACCATGGGCAGACTGACCTGAATTTCTAATTGCTGTACAGGACTATAGACTGCAAGGGGCCTCCCAGGATCATCGAGTCCTGGCCATAGCCCCACATCAAATAAGCCTTTTTCAATAAACTTCGAGGTTACATTTTAGGGTAGAACTGGTCTATTTGCCCCCACTACTATGAGGCTTTCTGGCCTGGTTTTGGGTTGGGAGGGAGAGAAGGGTCATTTTATTTTTAATAAAAAATTGAAAACACATTTGATCAAAATAATACTTTTTGTCATTTTCTGTTAGAAGTGTAATGAACATATCTTCTTTCAGAGGATACGTGAGAACTCTTATACAGCTCTCACGTAGCAGCATATACATATATTTGCTTCTGAGGTTACCAAAGGCATAAAGGTGTACAGGAGATGCTGCACCCACAGCACACGCCTACAGGACTTCATATGCACTTTGTGCAAAACACACACCTTGCCTGGCTTACTGATCTTGTTATTTAAAAAGTAATAAAATTGCATCCTTTCTATGCTGTGCAAACTGTATCTGCAATAAAATGTTGCACCGACACAAAGAAAGATGTACGAAACCACAAGCAGAATTCATATTTTCTTCAACTGCACTACATGAGGCTGGGGGTTGGCTCTCACCTCCAAGCAGAATGCGTGGCGCCCTGGGGACGGGGCAGGCTGGCAGGAGCAGGGCCCCTCTGAGCCGTCCCTGCAGTCTCTGCCGCCTCTGCCCAGTGCCTCGCCAGCAAGTGCCCTTCCGTGATTGTCCCGGGAACTGCTCATGCTGCCTGGGGTTTTTTTTCCCTGCCCTTGTTTAAGATCCAAATAGTCAAATTTACTCCAGTCTATCTAAACATTTCCCCTTCTCCTCACCCCCCTGCCACTGGCAGCGGTGACATGCTGCCCACAGGGGCTCATCCCTCGGCTTCCCACAGCGCCCGCTTGGCCGGTCCAGGCTGTCCCCCACACAGCCCTCACCCAGAGCTGCCGCACTGCACTGGCAGCGTGGGTGTAAAGAATGATCTAAATTGGGTTTAATGCATCACTGGGAACTGATTTTTCTTCGTGTCTCATTTCTGCAATGATACAGCATGCGAGTAACTGTTTTTTTAAAAACGAGTCTGGGTAGTTTGATGCTCTTTCTTCTCTAGTAAACCTGCATAAATGCTCTGCATTTGAAAGGTAGGTTTCTCAGCAGTATGCTTACAAGCTGGGACAAGCGCCGGTGGGCCTCGCTGCACCCTCAGGAATTCCAAATAATATTACTTTACTCCAAAAAAGACCTTACACTATTTACAGGGCTGTCCTGGGTTATTGTTTTTCTGTTCAGGCCCCCACTCTTTCTCTGCAACGTGAGTGGTCATGTTGCATTCCCCGGAGCCTGCACCCGCCTGAAAAACGAGGGTCCCAGCATGTCCCCAAGACTCTGGCCCACACACCGGGGCCACACTTGCTGTTAAGAGTGTGCTTGGTTTGAGGGAGATTTTTCTTAGAGGGAAAGACATAAAAGTTACTTAGCTGCTGAACTCTCATTCACTCTCTTTTACATAAAGCCATGCAGAAACACAGAGGCTCAACACCAGACAAACTCACGGGTTGTGCAAATAGTTTGCGTTAGAAAAACCTATGGAAACAGGATTATTGGGTGGTATACTGGCCAAACAGTAAACCAAAATACACTGAAATGCCATTTCATTCACATACAGCACAGTAATGCCGAGCATTACGTGGCCACATCCTGTTCTCCCGATAACCTTGAGGCACACACGTAACATCCTGGTGTGCGGCAATCTGGATGTGGCAGAGCCCATAAGTCAGCGGGACACGTTACATGGGGTCAGCAAGCCAAGGACTCCGAAAGCAGTGTATCGATAAGGCTGCCTGATGAGAAAACCTGAATGTTGTGTTTCTGCATCAGAAACAAAAACCACCGTCTGGATGTACTTGGGGCTGGGGATGGAGACGGTGTTCCAGCTGCGGATGAGTCCGGAGGGCGCTAAGATGAAGCTTTAGCTCACCAGAGCCAGGACTGGCAGGACAGCATGGAAATCAGGGCCAGGGGAAGGCAGGGGGATCCCAAGGAAACCATTCAGTATCTAACAGTCAGGTACGTGCTGAGGTAACTGTACCTGCTACCAAACATTTCCTCCCTCAAAGTTAATTCAACCTGGCAAAACGTGACATATAGCAAACCAACACACTGTCACATATTTAGTACTTGAATAGCTGAGATACGGTGTATTTTCACTGGGATCTTTATCCTCCAGGAGCATTCCTCTGTTGTAAGGTTTCTGGGCTATGTCTCCAATCTCCATGACGCAAGGTAAACACTCCCTTGATAACACCCTTGCCCAGAGCCCATAAATGCTATGGTTTCCAGTGCTGAATGATAAAGAACAAGTGATAGCTTCTCTCTGCTCCAAGCTACTGTATTTTACCAGGAACTGGAACAAGAATGGCCAATCTATATTACCCATTCATGACAGTATTTGCTTTTCAGAAACTATCTTACTAAAAATTCTCAGGTTCAAGCTGAAAGAAGCTCTTTTGATTTATTTGCAGTGCATTAGAAACAGCGCTAGGCTACTAATAAACATTCATGGTAAATATATGATGATTAATATCAAGGTTCAAGGCTAACTGGAGTAAATTAAACACTACAGACAATTTTATAAACTACCTTGCAGGTATAGTACACAGATTAAAAATCAAAAAAAAAAGAAAAAAAAATCCAAAAAATATCCAAACCTTGGATTGGATCCTAAGACATAATTAAAGATCAAGAAAGACTGAGTGATTGGACATTTAGACAGGTAACCTCAATTAAAAGAAAAACAAAAAAAATGATATAGTTAAGTGGCACATGCTTAGGAGGCTGGAAGCAAATGAAACAATCCTGATACTCAGAGGCTATCCCAAATGTCATATTTAAAACAATATGCACAGTTTCTGTGCAAGTCCTCAATTTTGTTTCTATTAGGCTTTAACTTAAAGTTGAAGTACCAAATTATTGCCAAAACCACAATGCAATTGGGTACAACTGCTAAACTAGGTCAACAATGAGACAGGCGCCCTAGCGAACCACACCTGCTTTCAGAGAGGCCTCTCGCTTCTGCAAACAGGGAAAAAGAGGGCAAGAAAGGAAAATACAGTAGTACAGTGAGCAGCAGCGAATGCAGAAACACCAGGTGTATTCCACCAGGCTTAACCCTGGAAAGCACCCTCAGAGGGTGGGGAGCAACGAAGAAAAGTTGAAGATTAGCGGGCACAAGGGCAACACTTACTGATTCGGGATCCCTCTGCTGTTCAAGGAAAGCCGAAAACTCCACCAGCCTGAGCTTGGTCGTACCAATCGATCGGCCCTGCCACGCAGGGACTGAGGGAGCTGGAGCTGACGTAGGCTCAAATCCTAAAATAAAGGAACCATTTTCACGAAGAAGTTGACAATTCCTCAGTTTATATTTTCTGAATTAAATATAATCAGGAATTATGCGTGTAGCCCTTGGATATTTACATTACTTTTAGCAAATAATGAATTCAGAATGAGTTAAAATTGGAAAAATACAGAACGATATGTAGAAAAAGAGGTCCCAAACCAGCAAGCTAATGATGGTGCAAATAAAAGATCCACTTCTTTGTTTCCTTGGGGCTGTAACTCACTGTAGAATTTTTGTTTAAACTACATACTAAATTATAGGGATTTATAGAGACTTCACGTAGACTTACAGCTGACCCTTCCTCAGAAACTGGCAGCGAGACTCACAGGAGATATTACTGCCTTGGGAGTCAAGAGAACTGGCCTCCATTTCTGGCTCCTAACGTGACACATGTTACAAGTAAATCACCTCTCTTTTTGCCTATTTCTTCTGCCACTCTCAATTCCCCTCTACTACTTAAGAGTACAAGGCTTCCAAGGCAGGGACTGTCTCTTACTATGTATTTGCACATCAGGTCTTTGACTTCTTTTGGAGCTTTTAGGTAGCATTATATTACAGATAATAATAAATAATTACTGTAGAGAGCTGAATCATACCCTAAAAAGAAAAAGAAGGTTTTAAATTGATAATAAAGAGAATGACATGATCTAGAGGGAGAAGGGATGTTAACCACCATCTCTAATTCACCTCAAGAGAAGGAATAAATGCTATCTCTTTCTCCTCATTGTGGAAAATTAGATGAGAAGGAAACAAAACAGTAAAGGAAGAAAGGAAAGGCAGAAGCTTGAAGGCAAAACTGATCTTGGGAGAGACACAGGCAGAAGGAAGGCAGAGGAGAGGCACCAAAGGTTAAAAAACAAAGATAATCCTGAACTAGGTTGAGAACCAGGGAGAGGTCACACGTAGTGTGTCTCCATATCCCATAACAGGAGTATGGTACCCGACTCCAATCCTCAAATTTAGGCAATGAAGGTGTGAGACTTGCATCAAATATGGAATTACAAACATGACTGGTTAGACATGAACAGGAATTCTAATGAAGCAAAAACTCATGCATGAGTTTTGACTGATTTAGAAATACTAATAATCCTATTCTGAGAGAAAACATGGAAGAATAAAAAAGAAGATGATTCAAAAGGTCTGCCTTAGGAAACAATCTTATAAACTAGGAACATCAAGAAAAAGGAAATAATCAGGGATGCAGAAAGACAGTCTTAGTTTTAAGCACTAAATAACAGCAAGTTAGAAAATCATAAAAAAAAATGGGTAAGAGTCAGAAAACTGACTGTTTGCAGTTCAAACAGAGTCAGAAGAATGGTGTCATTTGGGAAGCGAGATGTAAGATTAGTTATCATCTGCAAAGAAATAATGATTTTTCCTGAAATTAGCCATGAAACCAACTTGGGAAAAGGAGTAGGAAAGTAGTCATGGGAAGGGCTTGATCAATTTGGGCAACGGAAGTCAGAATAAACATTAGGTGCTTATCAAAGTGGTACCAGACAGAGCAGGACCTTCAGGAGGTAGAAGAGTTATCAACAACCAGATACAGAGACGTTTTATACTTGAGGATAAACATATATGGTTCTGGAAGAGATTTTAGCCTCAATTTAAAATAAATTAAGACTTATTCTCGTTACAGATGGAAGCAAGATTTAGCTATTAAAAAAGAAACATGCACCCCATTACTTATTTTTTACAAAGCATTTTCCTACAATATGGAATGCTGACTGGAGATCACGTATGACAACGCCTTGCATATATACTAGTGCTTCCTACCTCATATCTAAAAAATAAAAACAACAAAATAAAAACCAAACCCAATGATTTTCCTTTGTGTATAATCAGATAACACGACATTGGGACTGGTGTTTGGTTTGGCTACAGGGAATGTTAGATATGGAGTAGTGGCTCTGTCCGTCTCAGGGATTAATACATCACATTCAGTACACAATTCAAGTCTTTTTAAAGGAGAATATAAAGGAAATAATTACCTGAAATGGGAGCTGTGACTGATGGCTGTATAAAAATCATACATCATGCCATCCACAGTAAATTCCATTAGAGTCATACAGTATAAGAAAATACACGGTTAATGACTTTTACCCACAAACATATCACCTCCTTGCACAGCATATTTAACAGACAGACAGTAAACAGGTAACAGAGAGAGGGATGAGAATTACACCCAACATCTCAGAGCGAGGAGCTCGTCTGCACTCAATCACACAGCAGGAAACCTGACCCACCCATCACAAGTGCCACAGCTGATGTGGATGTTGATTGCTTTGACTCCAAATAAATCCAGAGGACACTGAGCCACAAGGGCACAAAGACTCCCACAGACCTCAAGGGAATAAGGTGGGGAGAAGCTGAAAAATAAGGCTATGAAACATTCCTCCAGAGACCACTGCAGGGCTGAAAATGTAACACCTGACAGGGGGGCATAGGCTTCCTTCCTTGCTTGGTGCTGTTGCTACTGTGGTGCCAAAGGGCAGTAACCCCACTGACCACTAATGGTCTCATGCGGTCATCTCCTGCCCTGCAGGAAAATACATCCCCCTTGCCTCCAGTGTTGCTCATATATTTAAAACATGATGGAAGTTTTTGTGCTGGAAACTTCTTCACAGGCAAAACCTTACCAGCTGCTTCCCTGGCATTATCATTGTATCTCACCATGCAATGTGAGGAAAAAGAAGTGTGCCCATTAGGTATTCAGCCTCAGTTTTGAGGTCTGGGATCCCTTATAACTTTCTGAATGTGATTTCACAA